TCTCTGCTGCCAGACATTCTGTACGCGACTCACGTCATATACTACTTATGTCTACATAAGTAGCACACACCACACTTCGTCATGCGTGCATAGCGTCATACGATCTATAAGTTGTTAGTTTAGGAAGTCAGGCTTCGAAGCTTACATTGGTCAAAGTATTGCGGATTTCTATTTTTTCTAAAATTAAGGCAGCTATTTCGAATGCGCTCACTTATACTGAGTTTGATGATCACCAACCAAGAGTCCTGAAGTGTAAATTGCCCTCTGTGTGAACATAAAAAAGTAATAAAATAAACACTCCGATTTCAATTGATTTCAATAATATCAGCAGTGGCAAATGTCACGAAAGGATATGTTTTCAGTGCATACTAGAAACGTGGTATGTAGAAGTTCCATCATATCTCTCCACCACAAAAAGAAGTTATTTATCTTGGTGCCAGTTCAAGGAAAAGCAGACGGAGATATATCTGCAACGCTCATGAAAAATAAAGGCCTCAACTCTTAGTTCGAAAAGATTAGGGGATATTACTACAGCATTGTCAGACACAGTCTTTCGATTAACAGAATCAACAATATTGAAGAAGAGGAATGGGCATAACCCATACAAAATTTGTGACACAACCTGGTCGGTCAATTACAAACCTCATATTGGCGGCAACACACAATAGTTTGTCATCACATCCAACAAGACCAATGAAAAAGCAGTCGCACAAAAAGCCTAAAGGAAAGAAAAATGGTCCACGGAGTGGCTACTCCAGTTTGGTTAATTAGTTGGTGTTGGGGCTGCTGGAATTGGATGTGAATTACGTAGGAGTGATGCCTCAGTGTCAACACATGTCTGGAATCATGCCGTCGTGGTGTCCCGCCAATGCAGTTATCGTGGCAACTACAAAGAATAGGTGGAATCTTAACAAATTATTACGATATGGAAAACATTAATGGGGGCTGCATAGTATGGACATCATCTCATGGGGCAGTCTACCCTGTGTAACTGATCGACCTAAGTTGGTTATCCATGATGTTGACGGTATTCAATAAACTTTTAACCATCTAATGATAACCTACCCAACGCAGAAACTATTCGGCTTTATTTGAATAGTGCTAGGTAATATTTCGCTGGTCTTACAAACTACTGTGATGCTTCCATATCCTTCAACATTGACTATGTAAGCATCAATAAAAAACCAACATCTTAACACAAAAGCAACGAAAACTCCACTCGTCCAGAAAAGCATCAACGGTTATAACATCCGACTTTATTTAAAGACATATATTACTGCTCATGGCACTGAAGAGGTTATCACTTTGGTTTACAACGTCACGCTTCAGGCTACCAGTTTTTAGAGACAGTAGGCTGCTGACTCCAATCCATGAAGAAATGCTGATGGCAAGTTGTGTTGAACGTACAAGAGAAAACTGGGCACTGGCTTTTCGTCTAACACCGAAAAAATGATAATACGATCGGATCTTTTATAATTCGATAACATATTATCCTGTGAGATTGCCCAATAGCCAAAGATGAAATCATACTTCTCTGTAGTGGAGAAACTTAGCCTAAAGACAAATTTCAGATGTTGGTAGGCCCAAACTTTGATTCTGTTCAGGAAATTCTGGCGGTGTAGAAAGTGGGATACTTACTGTTAATTCGACATCTGACACTGTCCTCCATGTAGTTCGGAAAATAAGGCTAAAATTTCATGGCAGAAAAATGTTGATGATAGTTCGACTCTCTATTAAATAGATAAACCTAAGTGGCAAAAGTTAGCTCAACTTTTAATGAATCTATATCTGTTACCATCAAAATTAATCAGGGTGGTTTACTTACTCCATTACTTCCTAACTTGTTTCAATGATGTACCCGACTTTAGAAAATGCTATAAAACCCTTCTTTTACGCCCATGACCACAAAGATGTATTGCTTTCTTCTGATAATGTGATTAATTTCACGGAAGTCTTAATTTGACATCAAATAGATGCAGAACTAGAAACACATCTGGGAAATGAAGTTTAATGAGGATAAATGTGAGTTTTTGTGACCTAGACGATGTGATGGCATTGTCAATGTCACATTATATGATCAGCTAGTCCTTAAGCATAAGGTATCCCTCAACTTTTGCTCTTTACGGATATGTTAACTTCCAAACTTACTGGACAATAAGACACACAGACCTTTTAAAAATATTCAGTCTTTTTGAGTTAAAGTTTGATATGAAATAGGAAACGTGGAATGTCGAATAGAACATAATATTCAATCCAACAGTTACCTCAAAAGAGCCTAATATAATAAAAATGAGAGGGTGAAGTTACTAATCAGCAAACATCGGTAGTGAGGGCGACCGTTTCAATCCACCCATGTTTGTAAAGCTGAACGATTTCCTTGTCTCAGGCTGTTCATGAGTGAAAATAGGAGGACATTTCAGTGATACTGAGGTCGGTTTCCAAAGATTTTCTCTTTTAGGACTCATATTTTTGATCTTATATTAGCTTTGCTACCCTGTCGAGGTAACTCATTATAGTTCAGTACGGGCTTTTACGAAAGGTTATAAAATGATAAAGCATTTCAAACCAATTTACCTTCACTTATTACATTCCCGAATTCATCGAACATCTTTTCGATATTTTGCTTTAGCTTGCCTTTGATATTCGGACAAATTTCACTTTGTCATAATTTAAAACACATTGTTATTTGTGGGAACAAATAACAATAAATGTTCCTTAACTACGTACAATTCTAACGACAAGAACTAGTATGAGCTACCTCTGCTGATTAGACAAACCCTTGTTTTATATGAATAATATATTTATAAAATCCTAATGAATATAAAAATTAGATTTTCTGATTCAGTGTAATGCGCTTATACTGAGTCACGTAGCGTCAGAAAATCTAGTTTTTCTACTCATTAGGATATTACAAATATATTTTTCATTTATAAGAATCTTCCAAATGCTCAACTAATTTGAAATTATCAAGTCAAACCTTGATAATGATACCTACAAACCCTTGTTTGCTTCGTTGCCGATTTTTAGGGATCGCTGTGGATCTGTGTTTGTTCGCACAACTGCTCGTCTTTTCCTTTCAGCTATATGTTAGTTGCACGGAGCCGTGAAACTTCTACCTCAACCTTGTCCATACCCCAGACATACGCAGTTGTAATAGCCATGACTTGCACTGGGTGCCCCTTCTTGGTACCGGATAACAATCATGAGCTCAATAAATAATCCCATTACTCTGCAGCGACCTACTTTTATGAAGAGAACCAGATTGGTATAATGGAAACAATCATTATAACCAATTGTAATAGTGGTTGTTTTACTGTGCTTGTTTGTTTAATTGTACTAAATACATACATTCTTTCATCGCTTATGACATGCAGGAACTTACGTTCTCCCAGTAGTTCCACTTGTACCCCTTGGCACTATCTCGGTATTCTATCGATACCACGAGATCGCCAACGAATACACCTTAGTACAACCTTCAATTGCCTTCTGATATTTGGCCTATTCAATGTCTGGAAAATATATCTCCATGAACATTTCATCTCAAAATTACCTTCTTCTACCAATGTAATCTTAATAAATCCACTAACATGGTACCCTATTTGTAAACCGCTGTTAGATATTATTGGTTAGAACTGAACACATATTATTAGTCCGAAAATACATTGTCCGTTCAAATTGGGAGGAATTTAGTTTCTCAAAATCTGTCAGATTTTGATCATGCTATCACTCTTTTCTAGATTTCTTTTTGACAAGGGTTGGATACTGAAGCAATGAAACGTGGTGATGGTTTACACTACCTAGTTACAGAAATACTGATCACAACACCCAACCGCCCATCTTTCTAAGCAGTGATGACCATAGTTGGTCCTGGGTCGCTCAAGTCCGTGGTTCCAGCATTTATGCTTATATTTCCGAAACTATTCCCAAGTGTTCTGGATGACATTAAATAACACGGCCCCACGTATCTAAAAAATGCCCATATCGATCTTTATCAATGCGGCTTGTATAAAGACAATCCAAATTGTGCCCACAGAGGCCATGACTCGAGCGGACTGAAAAATGGATTCCTCCGAACTGCTAGGGCAAGAGCTGTACAACCAAAAAGAATAAACTACTGTGTTAGATGGCCTTGTTAAATAGCGCATGATCCAGGGCGTCGAAAGTACATCCACATCCATACGGAAAAAAACCTTCATCGAAGATCTCACACAAGATCGACAAAAATCACCTAAACCACAACCACACAACCACGCGCCGCCGTAAATCAAGATTGTGCTATGCGAATACATAGGTCTAGAGCCCAGATAGGAGAGCCAAGAAATACTACTTTCTGATACATGGTTACTACTTACTTTATCTGGAGGTAATCAGGAATGTTGAGTCCTAGGCTCTTGCTGATAGTATTCAAGACATCACTACCTCACCATCAAAAACGGTACCTTGGTAAGATTATACCAGTTTTTATTACTGGTTGACTGTCTGTACAGGCCGACATGAACCCTCCCCTCTCAATGTACGTCTTTAAGAGAATGCTCGAGAACGGTGTACTCATACATGGCCCATCTTCGCCTGGAACAGCATCAACTGAATTGTATCTCCCATATTGTTATTATTTCAATAACCCTTATTAATGGTATTTTTACTGACCAATTTGTCCTCATTTCCCCCTTTTTCGTCTCCATAGAACTGATATTCATCTCTGACTTTTGTCTGTTAACTATTCACTTGCCCACACTAATATTCATTTCTTTGCCCCTCTGTATTCTGATATTATCCTTCATATAACAGCCCGGCAATCTCCCAACCAGTAATAGATTATCTGCTAGACCCAAAAACCCCATCACTCTAGAACAAATGCAATCATTTATACTTAACGAATATTAATCTCCTAATAAATTCACAGTTATTAGTGCAGACGATTGAATAAACTACATGGATTGAACGATATCGAAGACTTAAGGTCGTGCCACAACATCAAATAGTGAGTGTCATTAGATCTACTGATTTATACTAGCTCATCACTAAGATATTAGTGCTATTGAAACATTCTGCCTCAATTTATAGCGCTGAGTTAGGTTCTCCTTTTGTAGGTCATGGTCAACTGAAGGGCTAGTACCAGATTTCAGGAGGTAATATATGAGGTACTCTGAAGATGCACTTGCACAACTAAACTTAGTAGCTTATAGTGGAAACAGCTCAAGCTCCCAAGTTTGGGAAAATCTTGGGGTTTTTATGCCATTTCCCCAAAGTTTACTATAGCGGCTCCAAAATTGGGAGCTCGGGAGTTTTCTCAAAAACTACAAATCCCTCTGATAACCGTAAATTTATAATGTATTCCCCCATGTTTTTTTATTAGGACGGTTGAGGCCAGTATTGCCTATATTTGTTCACGTGTAAAATAATGTGCAAAATAATCAGAAGCTTTATTAGTTTATCCCATATAGTTTACCCTGGTGACCAAAATCTTTAGCCTGATCAAACATTCCCTGAGATTTTTCTTCAGAGTACCCGTAATCACCGTTAATCAAGAGGATGTGACCTTACTAGATTTTGATACTTTAATCATTCTAGGGATTGTGGTCACTTCTCGAAGTTACAAACCTTTAAACTTCATATATTCCTGTAAGCCTTTTTGACAGACAGTAAAAGTTAAGATACGTGCAATGTGTTCCACCGGATTAACTCAGCTAGCAATATTAACTGATGCAGTGCACTAGTCAAAGTCATTCGACCAACCTATAGTGGCGGAATTCATCTATAAAAGTGTTAGCTCCCCAGTCGTAATCCACGTGAACTTTGTGTGACGACTCAAAGCCGGTTGTAGAAGAGTATCCACGTACTTTTATCTCCTGTCGAATCATTTACGCCATCCGGTTCCGTTCCCAGTTATAACCCAACTTTAGTCGTGCATTCAGCATCAGTGTCTCCACGTTATTCCTAGACTTACTAACGTACTTTCTTTGTAGTGACACCCATTATGGAAACTAGAACAAATGTCCATGTTTATTATCTGTGTATATATATGGTACCGATTACTTCGTGTTTAGTTTCTCTCTCCACTCGGTCAACTTATTTGGTGGACAAAATTTATTGTTGATGAGGTCTATTGAATCTGACCTTCACGAAGTTCACAAAGCAATACTGCCTTTCCCATTCTCTTCAAGACCTGCGTCTTAGAATAAGCTGGCACTTTGGTTATTCAAGATACTTTGACCTTCTACTCTAAGTATTCTGAATTAAACATATTTCTACTGGGTCATTATGTATGGTACTTTTTTCATCGCAGATCGTACTACTCAAACGACTACACATTCAGAATAAACCTACCTTATAATGACCCGACTTTGGGCTTATAATTTGGTGACTAGTTGTCGATCATTTCATGTTTCTTTACCTCACAACGCCATGTCATATACGAAGGAACCAAAACCACTTCCTTGGAGTAACGATAAAAAAAATCCGCTGGGATGGGCTAAACGTCTATTCCGACTGCAAGAATCCCAATCATTGCCCAACCAATCAAAGGAACCTCCTTTACTGCATATGATCTGTCGACTAAAGCCTGTGAAGGGAGTCATTCACTACCAGAGAGCCATCCTTGAGAAATATGGTCTTGGGAAGGACACAAAAGTAATGTAATACATTATTTTATATGTTTTTAGAATCACAATTGGGTAGTCGTTAAAAATACTCCATCAGTCAACCGAGATTTATACGAGATAAAACATCTTATTCGGATACAGCCTGTTATTTTCGAGAACGGGTTGCCGACTGAATCTGATTTACTTGCCTGTAGACTGCTTCCGGATGGCAGATTTTTCAGACATAGGGGTCTTTCTGTTGATTCTCAGTTATTGGATTCTTCAGAACCGAACCAAACAAATCTATCGGTATACAATCCAAATCTACCTAATGATTCTAAGGTTAGTTTCGTCAATTTTCTTCTCCTTAGTTCACCCAGTGGCACAGTAAGTGTTTATCACTTAACCCTACATCTTCGAAATGCAAAGCTGTTCGAAGAATGATCTAGTTACGCTAATGACGTATAACGAAGTTTATGTTTTACACTTAAAAAATTAACACATACTTTCAGTTTTTAAAATATAACTCGTTTACCTATTACGGGTTTGTGTACTCAGTCTTGACCCACATTTATATTATGTGAACTAATAATAATACACAGCAGTTCAAAATGCTGTGGGGCGTGTTCGAATCTTCATTTCAGAAGTGGGAAACAAATTCTTTAACTACTAAACCTATATCAGGAGACAAGAATCATAGTTACTTTGACAGATAGTAGTTTGAAATTACATTTTCCAGTAAATCAAGCAATTGAAGGATTATACTGAGAGCTATGTAGTCCCTGTTTGAAAAGAAGTTCATGAAGTAAGGTTAACTCTTAACGTTTATTCGAAATTTTCAGGTTGGTATATGTAGATGTTTTTAAAAATGGTTGAGTTTTATGTTAGACGTGAAAGCTTGCCTGGGTTTTCATACATACTCGAATAGATTTCCTGGTTATCAAACACCGGAGATATCTTTCCCAGTATACCTTGACCCATTAGTGATTTTTGCATCAGTTTGATTTGATATACCTCATCATCATACTTATACATGAAAAATGTCGGCTCTAACTTCTAAGCCCCAGCAACATGTCACTTTTAATGGATGTGCTATTTTAAGTCCATAATTCATCATACGGTGTGTAGGCCTCATAAACAGTGGATTTTTTTTTACCAACGTAGGTTGTCTATAAAAGACAAATTCGTTAAAATTGCACTTAATGAGATTTATCTCACTTGAGAAAAGCCTGTAGAAATTGTTACTAAACAACAATAAGAACGTTAGTTATATAATCAAACTTAGTTGAAAGGTTGGCATAATCTCCGTTTGATTCAAAGTTGCTTAGGAAAATGTCAAAAAGTTTAAACTGTAACCCGCATTTCATAGATTTATTGATTTGTTTCGCTACACTTTTTCCCTCTATAGGCTTTATTTCATTCTAATGAAGAAAAATTCAGATATCTAAGCCGTACATACCTAAGAAAGTGGCACAACAAAAGATGGGCCAATCATGACTTCTTCAAGGAGTTTTTCACTTCACACTACAAATATAAACTGAATCAAGATGGAAATGAATATCGTTATAGTGGTCTTTCGCGACTAGACAAAGCAATGACTCATTCACTTGAGTCTAGAAGAAATCCCGATGGAACTCTTAAGCAGCCAAACTGCAATCGTTTTGATGCTGATTGGAATACTTATCCTTGGTCAAGATATTGAAATTTAAACCTGTTGGTTTAGGATTCTCTTGCCATGATCGTTTCGAGCTGTGTACAAATACTTGATATATTTAAGAATAAAACCCAGTCAACTATCACTTTTGACTTCGATAATGTTATTCCATAATTATTTTGGAAACTTATATTTTATATTATTATAGTATCTCAATGGCTCAACAGTATTTTATGTCTACCTTTGGCTGTCTTACCATTTTGTCTCATGGCGAGCTAAACCAATGCTACACATTATTTCCAGCGTTTGTTTGGATGTGATAGATGTATTTCAATAATGTAACTCACCAGGTATAGTATAGAATAGGTGAAACTACAAGTTTGTGCCTTGAGTTTGAGTAACACTGTGTAAAAACGTAGTGATACCATCCAGCTGTCCAAACCAACGTCGATGAACCAGAATCCGGACCTAATAACCGATTGATTCAACGATTGAGCAATCCAAAAAGTGGCCCATAGGTTACACGATTCGCTGACTGAGTATTCTGTTACATTGGATGCAGTTACCATCCCGATATTATGGTATCCGCTTATAAAGGCGTACACTGATCAAGATGGGCTGAGAAGAAGACGACCAGCATAGCAGCAGTACGTCTGAACATACACAAAGGGAAAAGCAAGATTCTCCGATACAACACGGCGTGAATCAATCGAATCACATTTGGCATAGAAGATTTGGAAGATGTAAAAAACTTTACATATTTGGACAGCATCATTGATGAACACGGTGGATCTGATGTAGATGTAAAGGCACCGATCGGCAAGGCAAGAACAGCTTATTTACAACTGAAAAACATCTGGAACTCAAAACAATTGTCAACCAACACCAATGCCAGAATTTTCAATACAAATGTGAAAACAGTTCAACTGTATGGGGCGGAAACCTGGAGAACTACAACAGCCATCATCCAGAAGATACAAATGTTTATTAACGGTTGTCTACGCAAAATACTTTTGATCCGACCTCCGGATCCTCTTTACTAGATTCAAGTCCGTTGATTGCACTAGATTTACCGTGTGAATATTAGAGGGGAAAATTTCCAGTTACATGATAAGGGGTTGGTACGACAGTGTATGTTTTTGGCTGTCTAAACCTCTACTGCAAAAGTTCATACGAATTACTAAACAGGCCACCTAGATTCTTCGATCGCTATTCGAAGTCGATGTATGAAATAGCTTATCTGATATAACAATAGTAGCAAATTGTTTCCGAATTCAGAAAATTACCGTAGTTGAAAATATGCTCCTCATTTTTTGTCTAAGAAATCACCTTTTTGATTGGTCGTAGAGGAAAAAAATAGAATAAACTAAAGGACTTTCAAACCCTTAAAGATTCTACTCCTCACTTGTGCTGTTCGCCTATTTCGATCGCACCTTTATTAGAGTGAACTTATTGCTGTAACTTAATTATCGTGAATAAATAATAAAACATGGCGAAACTATAATTTGTAGATGACGTTTGAACGAATATTAAGCGACCTTGTTAAATATCAGCCAATCAGAAAACAGCTAGTATAGTTAAAAATACATTATACAAAACCAAAGAATTATAGTGGATACACTTCTTTTACATGGTTTAAAAACTTTCTGAGGTTGGAAAGAGGTTCTGAAATCGTATTGCATACAGTGGAGGAAGTCATCCATAAGAGTCGACCTCTGAAGCCATGGTAAATTCTCGAAAACTTTCAGCCTCGACCATATAACTTCAATATTGTTTGTGTGCGCTCCAGTTGTTGGGTGCACAAAATATTGCTTGTGGACAACGACTTTCGCCAAGATTCGGAAACAGTTTGGTAGATGAAATTTATCGAACATAAACTTTGTTGGGATTCCAGCGATCGAAACTGAGTAGTCTCGACGTCTTGCATGGTCATCCAGTCCGAGCTTATATAAGGAAGCGGTTAAGATAAATAAAGTAATAACAACTTTACGCTACAAATTTATTTATTCATGTGCAGATGTTGATTATAATTGTTATGACAGGTACTACGTATACAATGTGCTAAAACTGGCAACTGATTCTGTGTATTGTGTCGCATAACTTTTACACCCAAACCAACTCGATGAATTAATCCCTCTATGCAGCAAGAATTACCCACTGTTAATTAAAGGTGAAGTACGAGATTTCTAACCTGCTAATAGCAACGGATTTGGCGTAGTTTAACGGATACTGAGGGACGAAATTAAGTTGTCTATTAATCTTTCAAACGGTGAAAGATCACTTCATGGTCTACAAAGCTGACACGCTCTTGTGTTGCGTACAATCTGGTTTATCTCACTTCTATACTAATTGTCCTCTATTGTACGTATCATTAGCTAAAGTCAGTAAAAAGTCTCAGTATAATTCTATTCTGCAAACACCCACTATCCTTGCACAACAGAGTCGCTAACTAATTACCCTCTTTCTAGAAGTTTTTGACGATTCTAGGTAATTGTGATGCGGAAAATTTACGTTTGTACCTAACCTTTCGTCAACCTTATGAAAGCTTTCCATACTGCTGAACAGTTCGTTTTAGTCCTCTCAAACACAAAAGCTTCCTCCGAGAAATGGAATTAGCCACAACCAACTTTCCAGACTAAAAATTTTCGTTTGAGATCATGAATCGACTGACGTTAGAAACCTGTAAGCACTGGACGGCCGTTTCGTCCTAGTATGGGACTCAGCAGTGGGCATCCACGATCCCGCTGCGGGAATAGGACCCAGGGCCTTCAGTCTCGCGCGCGAACGCCTAACCTACTGGACCACTGAGCCGGCATCCAACGGTGTTAGTATTTAACATCAACCAATCCGCAAGATTGCGCGACCATCTTCCATTGTACTGAGGTAGATACCTGTCTCTACCCGACACGGATTAGCTCCACTGGTCTGAAAATTAATGTCAATACTATTATTAACGGTTGACAAGCTTCCTACGGAGCGGGTTTTGCCCAAACTGTCGGTAGATGAGTGTGACCCTTCATTTTGTATACATATTCTACATAAAAGTCGATTGGGTTGCGAGGAATGCCTCGTATTGTGAAATACGACAGTAAGTCACATTACAAGCACTTGGTTGTCTCAGTACTACTTCCTTTAGAAATCCTACGCCAACGAACACTTATCTGGGAATGATATCAGCTATTTGAAATAAACGTGACAGAAAACAACGCTGACGAAATATGATATTGACAAAGCTAATTTATTAGTTTGTGGGTCCTGCGATAGGCATAAATTCGACCAGCTAAAGTGATGCTTTTAATTGGAAGGAGAAGGCTACAGGTAAATGGTGGCTGTGAAAATAAATTCCATGCCCTTCGGAAATTATTCCGTCTCAAAACATGATACTCACCCCTTACCACGTATGAAAGCTATTAGATAGTTGTTTTCGCAGTAAAAATTGTGACGAAATCATCTATCTTATCGTATGCCTGTTACCGCAAGTGATAAAGAATATCGTAATTTTGTTTTTCTTATAGATACATTTCTTCATAAAGTTAATTGACTGACATGATTGAGACAGTCTCTGCTTACTGCTCTTCGTTGTTTTTAAGGTGTATGTATTTTCAGGGGAATCGCAATAAAGCTAAATCTGACACGACGAACTACTGCTACATTACATGTAAGCTAAGCTACTCAACTAGTTCCGGGAAAATGTAGTAGATTTGGTTTTTTGATTATTAAACTGGCGTATAATACTGTAAGGTGACTACAACTAGTCGACTGCAAGTGTGAACATCAGAAACTCCATTTTACATGACACAGTCCTAGTGGACACAGCTCGACGCAAGAGACAAAATAGAATCTTATTTATGAATATCTAACGTACTCTTTTTATAATTTAATCACGTACGTGACCTCATATGGTTGAGATATCTTCAAATGACTATTTTAAATGCTGCCATGGGAAATATCTTCACTGGGTTTACCTATTGCAACGTTAACGAAATTTATCTTAAATACCCAAAAAGTATAAACTATTCCTCATATAGTTTAATGTCAAGTTTTATTTTAACTAAGTAATTTGACGTTATATAAAGTAGGACGTGTATACATGAATGGTTTAGCTAATAGATGAAACACGGTCAAATCTGTTAGAATATAACTATTACACCACGACTTGTGTTCTAAATATGAGAATTTCGAAACGCTATAATGGTACTAACCAACCAGATTATTACTAGGTCATCATATAAACATGCGAGTAATCCGTGAATTTAGTGTACACTGAGTGATGACCAAGTGTAAAGGCACCTGAATAAACAAACATCAGAAAGTATGTCTCACTAGATGCTTAAGAAAAAATAATATTCTCAAATGTACATTGTTACAGTATTGATTTAAATCATAAGATCAACAAAAAAGGACTATCACAGTGAGAAATTCAGATACGATTGATGAGAGTATACTAAACACCAGCTGCAATCTGAAAGTTGACTTTCTGCATTAGTTTTTTGTCTAGACGTTTATGCCTGTGACGAATTATAGCAAGACTGCATAGCGCCAATAGAATTAGTAAACATTTAAAAATCATAAAGCGACGAAATGAGTCTGACAAGCTTTGATGTGTGCTTTCTGTACATGTTACTTTTCCATCCTGTTAGAAAAAATAGTTAAAACAGTCGATTAATAAGAAATACGTACGTTAAGATTAAATTGTATAAATTAAACTATTGATCATACCAGTATTCAGAACCTTTTGCTATACAGTATGACAATTTCCTTACACTATGTTGATGTGATAAAGTGATACTGGTCGATACATACTTGCGTCAGGTCTTACGATGTTTATAACTGATTGGGAAATGGAGGAAACATTGCTGAGTAAACATTTGATCAACCCATCCAAATTTGTGTACCGAACCCACTGAGTCTCAAAACTTAAGTTATAGACAATTGTAGATTTCTTTTCATATACTCACGATTACGTTGGAAAATTTATATGGACTGGACCTAATGCCAGAAGCACAAGCAACTAAATTTTCATTACGTTTCAAATCTAGAAAGAATGTGGCGAACTGGGATTTTACTAAAAAGTGCAAAGATACTAAAGCATTCAGGTAATCAATCAGTCGAAAATTGGTAAAATATCCCATGAACATTAGGGTCCATCCACTTCCTGTCACTGTAGTTGGACAATTTTACTGGACGTTCTCGAAAGTTTCGCCTGTGTTTAAAATAAGGACTG